TTCTCTCTCTGCTCTGGAATTTTCCAGATGCCTCTGGAATTTTCCAGATGCCTCTGGATATTTTCTCTCTCTTATCTCTTATCTATAAAAGTCTTCCCCTTAACCATACCATGGAGCAGTCGTGTTGGAAATTTCTTTATTGAACCCCAACACCACAGACGGTAACAGATCAATGGTTGAAAACATGGAAAGAAAAATTTCCCAACTATTCATCCTTTTAATTCTTCCTAGTCCTGGAATTGAGTTTCAACGAACAGAGACAAACCTATGTAATTGGAAAATAAGCTTGCAGATGAGGGCCTTTCAGTTCTATATTAAAATAATTATTCAACAAAATTCCACTGGGGAATTTCAAAACGCCGGACATAGTGCTGGAGAAGTAGACACAGCTCTTTCTTCCAAGATGGCATCAGTCTGGCTGGGAACTCTTGAATCATTCTCCTCCACTGAATTCACTGCACAAGAGAGGTTTACATGCAGCACTGGAGAGATGGAGATGGAGCACTGCCAACCTTGTGGAAGGCTCTGTAGTTAATTGTTCCTTCCCACAGCTCACTGTAGCTCTAACACCAGGCTTTCGCAGCATGCCAGGCAGTGCTGGTGAGCAGAGGAGAGAGGTGGGCTAATCGTAGTGTTTCCCTTTTAGTTGTGGGACCGTGGCCAAACCCTCCTTTAAATATTATTTCTGTATTTGTAACATGGGACAGTACCATGGTGTCTCTCTCTCTCTCTCTCTCTCTCTCTCTCTCTCTCTCTCTCTAATTAATTAACATCCCAAATGCTGCCCTTTCCCTCCCTCACAGGGTCCCTCCCCCCTCCCCTTTGCCTCTGAGAGGGCAAGGTCCCCTTCGTTATCCCCCAACTCTGGCCCATCCAGTCTCTGCAGGATTAGGCAGATCCTCTCTCTCTGAGGCAGGACAAAGCAACTCTCTGCTACATATGTGCCAGGAGCCTCGGTCCAGCCAATATATACTCTTTGGTTGGTGGCTCAAGTCTCTGAAAGCTCCCAGGAATCCAGGTTAGTTGACACTTCCTACGGAGTTGATATCCCATTCAGGGACTTTAATCCTTCCCCTAACTCTTCCAAAGGGACCCCTGACCGCCGTACAATATTTGGCCGTGGGTATCTGAATAACATGACCTTTTAGATGGTGAAGACTGGTTAATATGTGTATAAAGTGTTCAGTTCATTCCTCCCTGGCACACAACAGATGCTCTATAAATAGAAATATTCTTAAGTTATATGTATATAAAAATCTCCTTAATGACAAAAAACAAAAAAACAAAAAACCACTTTCCTTGTGGGAAAATAACATCTAACATTCGTCTTTGTTCTCCACAACTGGTAAATGTAAGAACTGTATGTAAGTATCCGTGCTCTGAGAAACTCTCGAGTTTCCAACGAAGCAGTCTTTGGGAGGTATTTATTGGAAGGAGGGATATTTTCTTCACCTCCATTAAAACATAAAGTGCACAACTAATGAACACATCTAGACTACAGAAACAGAAGTCAGGTTAAATTTGTTTTTTTTTTTTTTTAAATGAGAAAACATGCAATTTGATTGAAAAACTACTATGTTATCCCTCTGTTAGGAGAAAGGGAATTACCATTCAGAAGATTATAATCATCAGGTAGGAGAAATGGCTCAGCAGGTTAAAGTGCTGGCTGTCAAATCTGATAGTTCAATTCTTACATGGAATAAGCAAAGGGCCAGCTTCCTCAACTTGTGCACACACACACACACATGTTAGGAGCCACGTTCGCCATTGCAACATGGCGCCGGTTTCCTGCTTCCTGGTTCTTCTTGAGAGCCTTGCTTGAATGTGCACCTGCGCAAGGCGCGAAAACCAGTATGCTAATTTGGCGATATCATAAGAGCCAATGAGTGTGTGGCACGTCTCCTAAGGCTCTATATAAGCCACTGGTTTTGGGGCTTGGGGTCCCTCGCCTCACTGCCATCTAAAAGAGCTGTACAATAAATTGCTCTCAGAAGAATCTTGAGTGTGGTGTTCTCCTTATCGGCGAGGCTGCGTGCCACACACACACACACACACACACACACACACACGCCAAGAAAAAGGGGAAGAAACAGCAAACAAAAAACTTCAACTTCAGTCCCCAGCTGACTTGTTGGGAAGAGCCTCCTGCTCTGGCAGAACTCCACGGCACTCAGCTAAACGCAGATGAACCAAGGTCAGTCATCTGGTCTAAATTTGTTTTAAAGTCCGTGGCAGTTTACATACAAAGGAAGCAGAGCAAATGCACTTTTACACCCTCTAAAAACAACTCTTCTAAAAAAAAGTCCAAGAGGTTTAGCAGTGTGAGAGACAAAGCAAAGCCAGCTTCATAAAGTTAACTCACCTCAGCAAGATCATCAAATCTCTCTTTCTCAGTTCTGTCTTTTCTTTCAACACTTTAGTACAGATATGTAATTCTGAGTAAAACTCGATAATTCATGTTTTTCAGGTTGCCATATTTTAACATCTGACCAGACCGGGAGGATAACTCAATGGAAAACTGAATATATGTGTGTGTATAAACGCACATGTATGTTCACGTATGTATACATACACATTACATACATGTTTCAGAATTTTTCAAAGTCTTTTTTTTAAAGATTTTTTTATTTATTTTATGTAAGAACACTGTAGCTGTCTTCAGACACCCATATGAGGGTATCGATCTCATTGTAGATGGTTGTGAGCCACCATGTGGTTGCTGGGATTTGAACTCATGACCTCTAGATGAGCTGTCAGTGCTCTTAACCGCTGAGCCATCTCACCAGCTCTTCAAAGTCTTTAATACACAAAAACATCATAGACATGCAGCAGAGCTGGCAAGACATAACCAAGTGCTCCCAGCACCCTGACTTATGGAAAGTTGCTATATGGAACACAGGCTGGGAAATGCTGGACTCTAAATGTGAGGGGCATACAGGGATCGGGATGGTGGTAACTCTCGCCTCCATTAACAGCTTTTGACACTCCTCAGTCCGTCTAGAGTTGTGCTTTCTGATCTCACACTACAATCTACACTTTTCCTGTAAGCAGGCAGCAGAGTCTAATCCTACCACTTAATCAGCTTGTAACTACTACAAACATTATGTGTGCTTTCTTCCTTGCTTAGAATAGAGAGGAGGGAGCTTGCTCCCGTTCCTTCCATCCTCTGGCTGTTTACAAACTTGTGTAGAGACAGTGGCATTCTTTGCCTGGTGAAGATGACAGGTGTGCCTTTCTTATCTAGGCAAAGGAGACCCTGGAGACAGGGGTGACAGAGAACAGGGTGTTTTTGAGGCTGTACTTATTCTTAACTCTCCTGTCATTTGTCCTGGAATGGGATCTCTAGAGAGAACATCTCTACTTTCCAGCATCTCATCCCCCCATCCTCAACCAACTCCAGGGGATTTGTTTGTGTTCCTCCTGCAGTTATCCCTGTGGTTGGTGAGAAACTAAGGAGAAAGTGTAGGCTGATCACAGAACTCCTCCCTCCACAGTTACATTACAAATCACACTGTCCTGTGAGGCTGCCAAATCTCAGGGACTCCTACACAGACGACAGGGAGAGGACTGTGACTCAGCTCCCCGCAGTCTACTATACATCTTTACCCAAAGGGACAGCAGGTAGAGCACCTGTCCTGGCTGCAGTCCTCACTCCGCCCAGCCAGGGAGACAGTGCAGGAGCCTGCAGAGGATTCTAGCTGGTGCCTCCTCGCTGAGGAGTGCTTCCCTTTAACTCTCTCCAAATAAGCCCTTCCCTGGGTACCATCTGCTTCCTCCTAGGACCCTGACAAAGCACCCGAGAAGGAGTTTTTTCGTGATTGTGAACTGTAGCAATGTTACTGAGAAAGGGAAGATGTTAGAAACTCTAATTACAAACTTTGGAGACAGATGCGGCTCAGTGGGAAAGCAGTTGCCTAGTGTGTAAGGCTTTGGGTTCAATCCCCAATGCAAAAATAATAAGAGTGTTGATGCAAACAAAATGTTCTTAAGAGCTGTGGCTGGTAAAGATAGAGTCCTTGGTGAACGAGGCTGGAGGGCAATTCTATCAAACTCCAAAGCAAATCCTGTCTAAACCTTTGACTCTTTGTGCAGGACCACTTGTAATGCTTGCACAATCTAACAGTGTCCAGCATGAGAGAAGATGTTATCTAAATACCATAAATGATACAGCAACAAGCTTCACAATGTTTTTGAGAAGGAAAGCAAAATATGGTTGAGACCGTGGGAGTGTCTATGGGAATACTTTCACCCATAGAGCAACTAGCAGTAATTCCTGTCACTTTCAGAGGAAAATCTGAAATCTTTTGGCCAAATAGGACAAACACCAAGAACATACATCTTTCCAATACCATCCCAAATAGCCCATGATACAGTGCTTGTTGGTAGACCTGTCTTCCACCTGCAGTGAAAGCCAGAATCCCATCCTGTGACTGCTGCAGAGTTTAACAAATGATACCATGTGACATTACAGGTCAGCGCACAGCTCAGTGAAGGCACACAGGCATTTGGCTGCAAAATTGTTACCAGTCTAGAGGCTGAAGCTGAACCCGGATTCTCATTCTGTTTCACATAACAATTACTTACTCTCTCTTGAAATCCACCTTCCTCCTACTGAGGAGGAAAGATATATGGGTGGTCAGCTGAGAGATTCAGCCTTGTGAATATGTTACGGTCAGATCAGCAGCAATGGGAGGAGAAAATACACTAACAGCGAAATGATACTTGTACTAAACAGTCAGAAAGCAACACTAAGATGCACCAGCAAAATGCTTTCCCAACGTGAACCATCAGTGAGGTAACCATGCAGTCTGTTTATACATCATCTCCCACCCCACCGCGATTGCAAACCACTGAAGATGCTAGCTTTTGAACTGGACAACCACACTTGTACTCATTCTGCAAACAAAGCTGGCTGCGGGGCAGGGGTGGAGGACCTGAGAGGGGGACTGAGTGTGCCAAAAGAGATGTCCACAGCGCTCTGGCTTGGAACTCCAGCTTACCAGTGGAGTCGGTCCTGGAAGCCCTGCCGCTTGCCTGCTCCTCAGCGTTGAGGAGCTGCAGGTCTGCATATGAAGGAGCAACACTAGGACTGCTGGTGTCCTCGGAATGCGTGGTCCAACTGCTCTCCGAAGTCAAAGGGCATCTTTTCAAAGAGTCGAAGGAAGGGCATGTCCAGCAGGGCATGGTCAATGTGAGGGCTGAGAACAGATGAAAATCCGAGAGGATACAATGTAAATAGTTGTCTTTTGCTTATGTTTAGCCATCACTCAGGTCCTAGGCAATGGCAGCCGCCATAAAAGGCCTGGGACAAGGACAGAGAACGTGGATTGGCTGAGGTCTCATGGGGAGTCACTGTCAAAACCATACTAAGGGGCTGGAGAGACGGATCACTTGCCATGATGGTTTGACTGAGGACGGTCCCCATAGGCCATATGTTTGAATGCTTGGTCCCTAGTTAGTAGAAGGAACTATCTGGAAAGGATTAGGAGTTGTGGCCTTGTTGGAGGAGGTATGTCCCCGAGAGTGGCTTTGAGGTTGAAAAAGACCAGGCCTGGCCCAGAATCAATGCAATGTATGTGTGTCTCTCTTTCCCTCCTTCTTTCCCTCGCTCCTTCTCTCCCTCTCCCTCCTTCCTTCCCCCCTTCCTCTACCTGTGGGTGAGATGAGAGTTCTCAGCTACTTCCCCCCACAATGATCACAGACTAACTCTGAACCTGCAAGCCAGCCCCAGTGAAATGCTTTCTTTTGTAAGAGTTGCCTTGGTCACGGTGTCTCTTCATAGCAATAGAACAGTGACTCAGACAGTAAAGTCCTTGCTGTTGGAGTGTGGGAACCTGCGTTTGATCCTAAGCATCCACAGAATAAAACAGGCGGGGTGCATGTACTTGTAATACGAGCACTGTGAAGGCAGAGACAGGGCATCACTGGGGCTTGCCAGCCAGCCGGGCTACTCCGATTAGAGCACCGGGCCCCAGTGAGAGACCCTGAAGTTTCACAAAAAACAGGGATGGTTCTGCTAACCTGTGGTTTCTTCATACTTAAATATACATAAGTATACATACTGCATACATATGCACATAAAAGCAGATTGAAACTTGGGTGTCAGGACCTTCAAATTAAAAAAAAAAAAAAGTCTAAGGAAGTACAAGTAAACTCTAAATTTCTATTTCAGTTTCGTTCAGACCCAAACTACAGAATTCTTGCAGTTTCACTATGACCCAGGCATTCCCTCCATTTTTTGTAGCGCATCAATAAACTCAGGAAAATGTACCAATCCGCACTGCCGAGTCGGAGGCAGAACACGCTTTAGGTTAAGGGTTTAGACAGAGGCATACACACTTGCAAGATGTATCTGCTCGGTCCAAGCCTGACAATAACTGGAAGTTCTGCACACTGTTACATACACAATGCGACTTATCGGGGCAGCTGGCTCACAGAGAACACAAAGAAAGTATCTTCTATGGGGAAATAAATGCACAGGCCGTGGCTTCATCTCCTTCACTCAGAGCACTAATCGGCCTCTTAAAAAAGCAGAGTGGTTTTGTTTTTGCTTTTTCTTGTGGGTTTTTCTTTTTCCTTTTTAAAATACAGCTTCTTAGTTCAATGTACTTATTACTAGTTAACTGCCTGCCATAAGCATTCTCCAGCGCTGCGTAAGGATTGTACCGTTGCAATTTTACTATCAAGTGCTAGAAGGGACGGTGAGCAGAGAATGAGGAACACATGCACATTCAGAGGTCATTTACAAATGTTTTAGCGTTTGATCCGGTGGTACTGGGAGGGAGGTAATGGTTTCCTCCACAGGGGCTAACCAACACAGAGGTTAAGAAACGTGCAAGATCATACAGTCAGTCATCCTGCCATCCTGCCTGAAGCATCGAAGGTCTGGCTAAGAGATGGAAAGGGAAAGTTAAGGTCTCAGAAGGAATAGATGGCAATCCTTGTGACAGTATGAAAATAAAACAAAAGAGGATGCGTGGTCTTTGTTCTGGTGGACACGTCTGAAACATCTAGATTGCTGCACTGAGGGCTCGTAGTTCTTTTCTCTCAAGCGATCCTGCAAATCACTCGTGAGCTATCCTCTCCACAAACGAAAATCTCCCTTCTGCTCATTGATTTATTTATGTTTGGCATCATTACTATGTGACCAGATATATCGCTGACTTCAGCTACAATTCGAGGGAGTAAGGACCTTTGTCTGTTTTGCTCACCTCCCAGAATGCCGCTTGGCACAAGGTAAGCACTCATTACTCGTGGGTTATGTCAGAAGAAGAATTACCAACTACTCCCCAACAACCTGCATCAAACAGAGATTGTCAAAAGCAAACCATGACCTCTATACAGGGAAGAAAGGACATGCAAACAAATAACAGAAATAGAACGCAAGGAAGAGGAGCTTGGAAAAGCTCATTCTAGGACTGCCTTTCCCTAGATTGGGATCAGGTACTTTGAACTACTGTGGAAATCAGCTCTTGGGTAAAGTGTATTGACATTATCTAATACCCAACATAGAGCTATCAGGAAAGTAAAGGATTACCAGGGGTAAAGTGAAATCTGGAAACTAGAAATTGTAAACAAAGCTTTGCTGAACTTCATATCCTGAGGACTGCTGAAACCAGAGACCCTCTGCTGAGTCTGAGTCTCTATGGCTCATGTGAAGAAGATAGAGAAGAACGAACCTACAGTCAACAAAAGACGGACAAAGTAACAAGAGATCAGATGCATACAGAGGAATTCCCCAGGAGTACCTTTACCTTCAGTTGGAGGTGCAAAGACTGATGTCTACCTTAGATTTAGGTCCAGGGAACAGGGAAAAAGCAAATACTGACCCTTTCTGGAAGAAACTGCCTGAATCTCAGGCAGACTGTCCCAAGAGGATGGTAGAAACATAATACCAACGGAGCACAAAGTGTGTAGCAAATCACATTATCATGAGTAAGAGCAAGCAAGAGATTGGAAGGGGTGAGAAACAGAGTCAGACCTGCAAAGAATTCAGACGGTAGGTTTAGGAAGCAAGAAACACAACAGGTGTGGTCTATTTAAGGAAATAAGTTGGAAATATGAGAAAGAAAAATGTAGTAGCAAAAAAAATAGCTAAATGGATTTCTACTTGAATGGACAGCATGAAGGGGCAAAGAGATAACAGGAGAGATATTGAAGAGACATCACCCCCACGGTGGGAGGGAGCAGGTTCTCACCCATAGAGCTGGGTTCTTAAGAACAAGAGAGAATGGGAAGAAGGCAGTAATATTGGGGCCACTGCTGACTGGGAATTTCATAGAATCTGTGAAGGTTTTTTTTTTCAGATTAGAAACCCCCAGGAATGTCAAGCAGAGTAACTAAGAGGAGAGTCCACAACTGTGTAAGACTGAAGACAAAAGGGGAATCTTAAAAACCCCCAAAGAACAACTATCCATCACTTTCAAAAGGGCTCTACCACCTCCTCAACAGCCAATGAACACTCAGTATGCTGATACAGAATAAGCATCAGGATGGGAGTTTACCGAGGGTGTTCTAAAGTCCCTTCTATTGCTGTGATGAAGTATTCCAACCAAAGGCAATTAGGGGAGGAAAGGGTGTCTTTCAGTTTCTAAGCCATCATCGAGAGAAGTCAGGGAAAGAAGTCAAGTGGGAACTTGAAGCAGAAACATGGAGGGATGCTGCTGGCTGCTTGGCTCTCAGGCTTACCCTAAGCTAGCCCAGGGCCACCTGACCAGCAAAGAGTACTGCCCACAGTCGGTTGGGCCCTCCTACATCAATTAACAGATGAGAGAATGCTCCACAGACATGCCCACAGGCCAGTTTCTCTACACACATTGATCTAGGCAATTCCTCGTTTGAGACTCCCTCCTCAAGTGACTCCAGCTGAGAAAATAGAGAATGCGCGTGCTTTATAACTACAGGCGAATCTGCAAGACCAGTAGCTGCAAGGTGCAACACGAAGTAAGGAAGACTCTTTCTCAAAACAACTAAAAAGAAGTAAGCATTACTATCAGAAAAGGTGGCATTTCTTCTGATAAAGAAAAAACCTGAACGCTATCTAAGAAAGGAACAGCCATAATAAAGCAAAATCAACCAACCAAGCAACCCACGGCAGGGCAGAAAAATACCTGTGTGTGTGTTGGCTACCAAAGTTTTTGTTGTTGTTGTTGGTTTGTTTGGTTTTTTGTTTGTTTGTTTGTTTTTCGAGACAGGATTTCTCTGTGTAGCCCAGCTGTCCTGGAACTCACTCTGTAGACCAGGCTGGCCTCGAACTCAGAAATCCACCTGCCTCTGCCTCCCAAGTGCTGGGATTAAAGGCGTGCGCCATCGCTGCCCAGCTCAAAGATTTTAAAAATACATATAAGTAACACTCTGAGAAGACTACTTGTGATACAAATTATCAAGAAAAGAGCACAAATAACACTGAGAATAAAAATGGGGTGAGTGGGCTAGGGATTGGCTCAGTTGGTAGAATATTTGTTTACCATGTATGCATGAAGCTCTAGATTTGTTCCCCAGCACCATGTAGACCAAGCATGCTGGCTCACACCTATAATCCCAGCATCCTAAGGCAAGATGATCTGAAGTTCAAGTTCATCCTTAGCTACACAGCGAACTTGCAGCTAGTCTGAGGTACCATATAGGACCTCCTTAGAACAAAACCCAATCCAACAAACAATCAAAAAACTGAAAACAGCCGGGCAGTAGTGGTGCACGCCTTTAATCCCAGCACTTGGGAGGGAGAGGCAGGCGGATTTCTGAGTTCGAGGCCAGCCTGGTCTACAGAGTGAGTTCCAGGACAGCCAGGGTTATACAGAGAAACCCTGTCTCGAAAAACCTAAAAAAAAAAAAAAAAGAAAGAAAGAAAGATAAATTAAGAATAGCCCAGCCTGTGGGGAGGGCAAGCCCTTGCAGCTCACACACTGTTCCCACTTGGTCCCATACCCTCTATTCATTCACCAGCTTCAGAATCTGGGATGGTCTGTTTTGCCCAGGTTGTTAGCTGGATGTCCTTAGGCCAGGGGCTTAGCCAAAATGAGAAAAGGCCCTGTGCTGAGCAAGATGGCTCTTCTCCCAGGGCCAGACCTATGATGCCTGAGCCAGCCAGAAATGGGCTGCCATGATGATGTTTCTCAGACACATCCGTGCAGCAAAGAAAAAGACCAAACTCTGCTCCCCTCACCCCATCTCTTCCCCAATGCTGAGAACAAGGACT